AATGTTACGTAACTATTCTTTGATCGGAGCGATAATTTAATTTCACAGTTGCAGGACTTTTGCGTAAACATGCCAAAGATCAAATAATTTTGAAAAAACAAAAAACAATATGTATTCAATTAACCTAAATTGAATTACAGCTGAATTGTTTATACCATAAACAAACGAACTAATCGAAAAATCATGCGTCTTAGCTAAAAGTCGTGACTCACGAGGGCGCCCGCAACTCAATATTTTTTTTCTAATTCGGTTCACTGCGAGCGGGTGTGATCATGGATAACTAATAACACACGTCATACTTACAGGTATTACCGTATCTACGACGTATTGCATGTTGCAATGTTGGAATTAGTCGATTGAAAAAAGAGTTGCAATAGTTGCCCGTAATGTGCGACTCTGTACCACTCACTTCCAACTGCCTCTCGCAAATCAGAGCGTTTGTCTCGAGTATTGAAAGCTTAATCAAGCTAAACTTGGGGAAAGCGTACGAATACGACACTCCCGTGTCCCTGGGTGAGAGGCTACGTGGTTTCGTAACTATTACTGTAACTGAACAGATTATAGTCTGTTGTGGATTTAAAATTAGATGGTTTGAGCATCGTAACGAACGTTTGTTTACGGTAAAAAACGCATCGAATATCGGAGTATGTTCGCTTGACTGCGATTCTGCGTCATAGCGTTTGTCGCGTCACGAATACAATCGCAAACGATTCCACGTGTTCGAAGCATCAACGCGGATGCGGATGCGCTATAGTTTCGTTGGCGAAATTTCTTCTGTTGTGGGATTATTACTGCATATCACATAAATACCAGCAGCCAGAATGGTTTAACCACCACCGGACACATCAAAATGGCACGTTTGTAAGTAGCACAGTGTTCTCTTTCCCGTATATGGAATGGATCGATTGATCGTGGTGTTGTGGCTCGAACTCGCTCACGACCCAAGCCGAAAAGTGTTATCACTCACGTGGTTATTCTTGAAATGTGAGCGCAGGTTGTTTGTACTCAATTAAAACTTAACTGCATTTCTAAGTGATCGGCAATTAATGTACAGATTAACGTCATGACTGTGGTAATTATTGGTATTTTCAGTTAGAAAATAATTTGACAATACGTTTATGCAATAGAAATAACTTGATAA